ATTATTTTTCAAGTTCAACTGCCAGTTGGCAAAGTTCTTTGTTGAAATAACCTTGAGACTAAGGAAAAAGAAATATACGATTGTTAACGTAATTGTTAAATGTTGGTTCTTTTCAGTTCACGATAAAAGTTATCGTTTGCTGTAAGAAATGTGGTTGACTGAGCGTATCGTCTTGTTTGACAAAAACACTCACAAACTGACATGCAAACAATTAAACCGTTAGATCTTTAGAAACAACAAGTGGCTGAGTCATACAGGGGGTCTCATGTGACGTATACTATTTAAAAAAAGGTGCAAATCGCTATTGTTTGCCCAAACAGATTTAAATCAGTAAATTGGAGATCAACCCATAAAAGATGAGTGCTATACATACCCTTATTCTACAGTTGTTAATAAACTGCGAGACTTTAAGCCATATTTTTTGGGAATTTGTCATCTGGAAACACGATCTTTGCTGTCCATATGAAGTGCAAATGTGAATTTTTTTCGTTATCAAATTCTTTGTATGAATTCGTTTTAGGCCATTGTTAACTGGCGTGCATGATGTTTTTAAAATCTAATTTTCCCTCGTGCGAATATTTTTTTTGGTACTTGGCCCGCCCCCCCCCAATTGTCCTAATTGTCCCTAAAGTAAAGAGGTGCGTTACGGATGACCGTTAAGATGAACCGGCATGCAATAGTTTTTTGCCAGATTACGGACATAGCCATGGAGGAATGTCATACAATGATTCAAGCACTTCATCATCGCACAGCCGGTCTGTATGAAAATACGAAGATAAGTTGAACAAAAACAGGACCTCGCGAAGAACTTCGGTGGAACCGAAAATAAATCCAAGAAGAAAATTTGTGAATCTTAAAATTTCTCTGAGTTTTTCTTTTGAAGAACTTCAGTGGAACCGAAAATAAATCCAAGAAGAAAATTTGTGAATCTTAAAATTTTTCTGAGTTTTTCTAGGACTGACAGATGTTTTAAGAATGGAATTGTGGCATAGACGATTGTATTCACTGGATATGTGATTTAGCAGGGTTAATCTAGGATATTACTTGAGCGAAGCAGTTCTCAACATAAAGAAGTCTGTCTGCCGTTGTAACACTGTAGGCGCCTGTCTCGTAGACCTGTTTTTCGCAAACGCTCGGTCATTTTGAATCTGTCAAATTACATCATTTTCGATCCTTTCCACCGAGTTTTAGGTCAAATTTAACGGTACATTTAGGCATAGGTGATTGTATTCACTGGATATGTAATTTAGCAGGGTTAATCTAGGCTAAATTACGTGCCACAGCTCCAATAATTAATTAACACGTATACACTTTCTGGAACGATCGTGAAAACACGAATTAATTATGCACCAAATTACGACCAAATATATAGTTTATGTTATATCAATTATTTTTCAAGTTCAACTGCCAGTTGACAAAGTTCTTTGTTGAAATAACCTTCAGACTAAGGAAAAAGAAATATACGATTGTTAACGTAATTGTTAAATGTTGGTTCTTTTCAGTTCACGATAAAAGTTATCGTTTGCTGTAAGAAATGTGGTTGACTGAGTGTATCGTCTTGTATGACAAAAACACTCGCAAACTGACGTGCAAACAATTAAACCCTTAGATCTTTAGAAACAACAAGTGGCTGAGTCATACAGGGGGTCTCGTGTGACGTATACTATTTAAAAAAAGGTGCAAATCGCTATTGTTTGCCCAAACAGATTTAAATCAGTAAATTGGAGATCAACCCATAAAAGATGAGTGCTATACATACCCTTATTCTACAGTCGTTAATAAACTGCGAGACTTTAAGCCATATTTTTTTGGAATTTGTCATCTGGAAACACGATCTTTGCTGTGCATATGAAGTGCATATGTGAATTTTTTTCGTTATCAAATTCTTTGTATGAATTCTTTTTAGGCCATTGTTAACTGGCGTGCATGATTTTTTTTAAATTTAATTTTCCCTTGCGTGAATATATTTTTTGTTTTCTAATGGTCCCTAAAGTAAAGAGGTCCGTTACGGATGACCGTTAAGATGAGCCGGCATGTAATAGTTTTTTGCCAGATTACGGACATAGCCATGGAGGAATGTCATACAATGATTCAAGCACTTCATCATTGTACAGCCGATCTGTATGAAAATACGAAGGTAAGTTGAACAAAAACAGGACCTCGCGAAGAACTTCGGTGGAACCGAAAATAAATCCAAGAAGAAAATTTGTGAATCTTAAAATTTCTCTGAGTTTTTCTTTTGAAGAACTTCAGTGGAACCGAAAATAAATCCAAGAAGAAAATTTGTGAATCTTAAAATTTTTCTGAGTTTTTCTAGGACTGACAGATGTTTTAAGAATGGAATTGGGTTGTTCCAGAAAAAATCCACACCCCCCCGACGGATGGGATTCTGGAAATTCTCGCGGGAGGGGGGGTCGAAGACTCCGGAAATCCAGGCGGGAGGGGGGGTTGACCTTAAAAAAGTCTTCCGCAGGGGTCATTTCGGCCGATAGTTGATACAAATCAAACGTTTAGTTCGATGACACTTAAGCGCTTTCAGACCCTGAAAATAGTCAAAATGTTTTGTTCATATATTTCTCACCTGACATAAATGATAATCTAAGTTGCTTTACAGGTCCTTTTATAGCAGAAAACGCGAACAAGATACTAAAGAACGGGCCTGAAGGAACTCGTCGCATAGTTGTTGTCACGAAGAGCGTGAAACACCTGACACATTTCTACTCGTACCCAGAGCCTGCGCGCCACAGTGTATAACTTTGAAAATCTCGGTTGTTTGGTGTAAATAATTAAAAAAAAAACAACTGATTCACGTTCACGCATTCGCACTTTGTATTTTTTAAGGTTTACTTTTTAAACGTGTATAAAATAGTGTTACTATAAAAATCAGTCTCTTATTTTTTACAACTATGTTCCCAATATCTCTGTGGGTACGAAATTACCTTGAAAATTTGATCAATTTTGTACCGTAAAGAATTTTAAATCAAAACTATTCTATCTATAAACAAAAACAACACTTTCGCTAGTGAATAACTGCAGCCAAGATACTCTTTTGTGCTGTGCTCGCCGCTCGCACTGGCTTACAAAATCAACGTGTTAAATTCATATTTCTGATGCCAATTAGAAAGATATCGATCGTCAAAAATCATAAACTGAACATATTTTTATCAAGTTCGTATAATTTCTACCGCTGAACAAAAACTAAACTTTCACTAACAAATAACTGTAGTCAAGATAAACCTTCTTGCTGTTAGCACACTGGCTTACTAAATTGTTGTGTAAAACTATTTATGCCGCAAACTTAAGAAAAAACACGAGCTTTCATTAAATTGTCTTTGACTACCAGTCCTCATCGCACACTTGTCTGGCAAATATGTCGGCTTCTTCACTGGCATCAAATGATAGCTCTTCAGAGGAGTCTTCGTGCTCCATTTCAATTTCACTGCTTGCTTTCGTCTTTCTTTTTGCTGAAGCAAGCGCCTGGGTTCGACAAGTGGTCAGACCAGCAACCGATTTTCGCAAACGATCCTGGGCCAATTTTAGCTCTGTTAAGGACTTCTTCAGTTCTTCTTCTTTCTGCTTGATTGTCGTCTTAACTTGTGGCGATAGTCCTTGGGCGCGCAGCGCAGTTATCTCATCGTTTATGGACCTTATTTGCTGGTCTTGTTCTCGTAATAATTTTAAGTTTTTGTTCACAGTTTTCGCTGACAACGCTAATTTGTGCCCCGGAATTTCCTGCGACAGAGATTTCGCCAACTCTTCTTCTCGCTCTGCATCTCGTATGCAGAGTTCGGTGGCATGCATTCGCCAGTGAGTGTCAATGATGCCATGAAGTTCTTGCTTTGAGTACTTTGAAAAGCTGGGCGATGAGCACAGCTCTTCCGCTTTCTCGTTCCAGAACCTGTAGTATTCCTTTCTTCGATCAGTGGCCTTCTCTATCGTTGATTCTGTGTATAAGTACACTCGTCCACGTGCTGCGCTGTAGTCTGCAGCTGAAGTCGTCGGCATTCCAGAAGTCTGAAAGTATTTATAGACAGGCTGTTGACGTAGACGCTTTGGCTTCGGAGAATTCAGCGTACTCGAAGGCCTTTTCCCCGCCGACTCTGTTTGCTGAAGATATAGGTTGAGCGAATCATCCTCATCGTGGACGAGGCATTTTCCAAGTTTGACAAAGGTTTCTTGTCCAGGGGCCACAGGAATACGTGCACTCTCTTGTTTTCCAACAGGCTTTGTGAATAAGAAGTTAAGGGGAAGAAAATCTTTCACTACTTGCAGAACATCTTTTCTTGTTGTAGTCAGATCGATTTCCTTTTGCTCATGAGTGATAAAAACTTGACATTTCAGCTCTTCCCCGACAAACACGTTGACTTCGATATGAGCTGCCATGTTCTTTTATCGAACGCAAATGTCCGGAAGCGAACACAGCTAATTCGACTAAAAAGTGCTGTGTGTTGTCAAGTCTACTACTACTGTATTACTTAACCAGCTTTTGACAACTTCATTCTTTAAATGACCGATTAAAAGGTGAGAAAAATCGGGAATCTGTCACTTTTTTACGAAGCGGCTATGATGACGGCTGTTATCTATTTTCATTCCCGGTCACTAATTAGATAATTCCAATGAGATTTATATTTATGTCCATTTAGACGGTTCTCAGTTCCCAGAACAAATTTGTCACCCCAAGCGATGTATACTTTGCTCGAAAAAAGGAGACTCTAGTAGGATATTAAAATGGATAATATTTTTGTAACAATGCGGTGCATGCGATTTTCCAGCTTTTCCGAGTCGTCTGTAGCCTTAAAAGTGTATAAGCACGCGAATCAAGGTGACAAAACAAAACTTGTGAAATTTAAATTAAAGATTCACGTTCGCACTACGTGTTTGTATGTTGACTTGAAAAGGACTACCGTTTGTTTTGATTCGCTCACTCAAGCAACAGTAGCTCTATAATCGTCTCGCAACAAATTTTGAGTAGTCAGTATTGTAGGCGATCTATAAGCGAAATGTCTTCGCGATTTGCTTCGAAAACGACTGTTGTACCACCAGTCATAAGCACTTTGGGTGAACCACAACTGATGTTTCTGCGAAAAGCAGACTGCACAACAGATCCAACTTTGATGAGAAATATGCCTTCATTGAACACTTGCCAAAGAGTTCGCTCGGAGTTATATAAAATGCAAGAGGGTGCATCGGATGAAGTTCAGCAACAGTACAAGCCGGTTGCGAGATGGCAGAATTTTGGCACGTTTTCCAGGGATGACATTGCTTATTTCATCCAGCAGTACCAAATCAAGGCTACAAAAAATGATGTGCAAGATGAAGAAGCGTGGTTTGGTCAATTGCTAACCCTTTACTCTTCTAAAGCAAACGATTCAATCGTATGTAATGCGAGAACTTTTATGGAACACATTTGGATGTCTTCACCAAACTCTACCGTATTCTCCAGCGGAATTTCAGCAGAACAGATAAGTAAATTGTGTTGTGACCGTTGGCTGTCATGCGACATAATCGATGGTGTCTTTGCAATGATTAACCAAAGTAATGACACTCACTACTTTGCAGTCTGTACTGAAGCATTAATTCACTCAGTGCGAGCTCAACAGCGACTGTGTAGTACTATTACTAACAAACTACCACAATTGAAATACATTCACTTTGCCCTAAACGTAAAACGAATAAATGGAAACGTGTTTGTGGGAAATGGAAATCACTGGACCTACTTTGTGTTTAGTACTTCACTTGATGAACTCTATTACGGTGATAGTCTTGGTTGGAATTTGCCTTCAAATCTTCTTACAGTTATGAAACCAGTCTTTGAAGCACTTTATACGTTCAGTGGAAAATCCTTTACCAAACCTCGTTATCCGGTCCTTATGCATCAACCAGGGGTAGCATACAAACACAAGTGTGGTAGTTCTTGCTTCAAAGCTTTTCCACTTCAGACGTGTGGCTCTGCATGTGGTCTGACACCAGTTTTCATGGCGGCAATAGCTGGAAACAGAGAAGAACTTTGGAAGCACATGATTACAGAAAGAACTCCTAATCAAAACGTATTGAAGGATGTGAGAAAAATTACGGGAGTTACACAAAATTCTCCGTTACTGAGAGCAGCTATAATGGGTTGGTTTGTTAGCTCTGCAGTTACGCTTGATGCACATCTCATCCCTCCCTCTTCTATCTGTAACACTGCGGCAGATAGTGACACAGCAAGTCCATCAAGCACTAGCACTGAATTCAGTCCGTCAGCTGCTAGTAAAACAAGTCCTTCAAACGCGAACACAGCAAGTCCGTCAGCTGCTAGTAAAGCAAGTCCTTCAAACGCTAGTAAAGCAAGTCCGTCAGCTGCTAGTAAAGCAAGTCCTTCAAACGCTAGTAAAGCAAGTCCGTCAGCTGCTAGTAAAGCAAGTCCTTCAAACGCTAGCAAAGCAAGTCCGTCAGCTGCTAGTAAAGCAAGTCCTTCAAACGCGAACACAGCAAGTCCTTCAGCTGCTAGTAAAGCAAGTCCTTCAAACGCTAGTAAAGCAAGTCCGTCAGCTGTTAGTAAAGCAAGTCCGTCAGCTGCTAGTAAAGCAAGTACTTCAAACGCTACTAAAGCAAGTCCGTCAGCTGCTAGTAAAGCAAGTCCGTCAGCTGCTAGTAAAGCAAGTCCTTCAAACGCTACTAAAGCAAGTCCGTCAGCTGCTAGTAAAGCAAGTCCTTCAAAAGTTAGTAAAGCAAGTCCTTCAAACGCGAACACAGCAAGTCCGTCAGCTGCTAGTAAAGCAAGTCCTTCAAACGCGAACACAGCAAGTCCTTCAGCTGCTAGTAAAGCAAGTCCTTCAAACGCTAGTAAAGCAAGTCCGTCAGCTGTTAGTAAAGCAAGTCCGTCAGCTGCTAGTAAAGCAAGTACTTCAAACGCTACTAAAGCAAGTCCGTCAGCTGCTAGTAAAGCAAGTCCGTCAGCTGCTAGTAAAGCAAGTCCTTCAAACGCTACTAAAGCAAGTCCTTCAGCTGCTAGTAAAGCAAGTCCTTCAAAAGTTAGTAAAGCAAGTCCTTCAAACGCTAGTAAAGCAAGTCCGTCAGCTGCTAGTAAAGCAACTCCTTCAAACGCGAACATAGCAAGTCCGTCAGCTGCTAGTAAAGAAAGTCCTTCAAACGCGAAAACCGCAAGTCCGTCCAGCACTAGCACAGCGAGTCGATCAGACACTAGCACAGCAAAATGTACTGCGAGTCCCTCTGTCATTTTATCTGGCAAAAGGTTTCTTCCATTTCCTGGTGTTTCTAAATGCTTCTACAAGCAGCAAGGAGAAATTTGGGCCAAAAATAATTCGCGCAATTTAGATCGAACGGAAACAATTTGGATCAAGAAAAATGGCGAAACCATTGGCAAGTGCAAAGAAAGAAATAAAGGAACTCTAGAAGAGAACATTGCAGAACTGGAAATTGCCATAGGGATCGAGAAAAGAGCTAAAAGGGTTGCTGAACTGAAAAGCATTGTAGAAGTGGCCAGGGAAATAATTTCATGCCTTGTGGTTCCTACCCACGGAGCGTTTGACCTTTACTGGAAGCACAAAAATTTTCATCTTGGAACTGAACATAAAGCAGTTTATAGGGCAAGTGACACTTTTGTTACCTTAAGTCAGCACCTAAACATTGCTCAAGTTATTGTTTGCGGGAAAGCGTATTTATGTGAGGCGCACAATACTGACATTATTAAACTTCAGGAGACACTTACCTTAATGACAAAGGAACATTCAGAGAAAACGTTTTCTTCTGAGGTTCGCAAGCGACTTAACAATTCCTTTCAAACGGCCTTAAGCTGTCTTGACACTAAAAAAGACAGAGACATTTTTATGGGAATTTTTGCTCATCTGACGAGTGCCACCAATGTAATGCGACTACGGACTCTTCAAAGGCGGAGAGCAATAGTGCGTCAAGCAGTAAGAACCGATTCTCTTTTCAGAAACTATGAAAGTATGAAGACATCAGTCCTCTCTGTTCGCAATGATATGACTAATAAACAGCAGCAGGAGTTTGAAAGAAAGAAACTGAGAAACTTATCTGCAAAATATTTCAAATCCATATGTGATGGTCGTGGTCGGAGACTCAAATGCGAAGAATTTCCGGAACTCCCCGCTCTGCTGGAATATGCCGTTGGACAACAAGACGTCCTTGCAAGGGGTGGCAGGGGACTAGAGGCGCACTCAAAATTGTACGAAAATACGCTCTATAAGGCAATAGATAACAAAACGATAATGCGTGAAGCTCGTGATGTTATTCTCGCTTTGGCGGATGAAAACTTCGACGTCAGTCTCTCCTGTCTCTATACGTACACTATGAATTATAAAAAAGGCACAAATCAAGCAAAGAGGCATCATGTTGGAAGAAACGTGAACGCAAAAATATCGCTTCACAAGGCGTCCAGCACAGGAGACTTTAAGCATCCGGTTAACGCACATTGGTCCACTTCACATGCCAATTTCATTTGTGATGAAGCAAATCAGTACGAAGCTTCTTGCATGATAGACTCCAAGGATGCTAAGTGCATTATCAATGGCGAGTTACCACCTGTTCTCAAACCTGGAAAGACGTGGAAAAGTATAGAATATCCAGATCATACCTTTGACCAATCGAGGAACAACGCTGTGACTCCAATAACTCACTTATTTTTACAGTCAAAAATTTTACCTTTTAACACGCCTGCTCTTAACTCTGCCAATCTGAATATACCCGGAACTCAAACAGAGGTTCAAGTTACAAGAACAGGAAAAGCTGTGACATTGATAAACTTGTCGTTATATGAGCCAGAAACTGTACTAAGAGTTTTTAACGAAATATTCTATCTCATGTCCCTACCAGAACTGGATGCGTTTTTTCGTAACCCAGAAACGCTGCAAGTTAAGGAAGTTTTCATTTTTGTTGTGGACAATGGTCCATCAGAGGCACCCGCAAGTACCATTGTTCAGATGTTACTTGCAAGACTTGTTAAGTTTTTAAATCTGGACAAAGCTGTTCAGCGATCTTTTGCGGAATATTTGAGCAAACGGAACTTTGTAGAGCGTTGTCATGCTGCAGAGAACAAAGGTCTTGAAAGGCATGAACCTTTTAGCTCCAAACAAATCAACCCATTTGCAGTTCCAGGAACCGATGCACACAAAGAAAACATGGAGAAAATGGCGACCGATGTGAGAGCGGCAATAGATGGCACCATGTTTAATAAAGAACCCATTCGTTGCTTCCGTGGCCTTGGAGATCGTCTCGTTTTTAACGATGAAGAAGGGCTCAAGTACTTCTATTCCCTGTGCAATGATCGCAAAGAATCGTGTGATATGCATTACAGTGCTGTCAACAATGGTATATATGGTTATCTTGTGCAGAACTGGGGTGTTGAAGAAAATTTCACTGGAAATTACGCTGATGACTATCATTCCCTGAAGTCTGACGCATCGAGGTGCAAATATTCCGTTTCGGTCTATCGGCAAGATGACAAATGGCGTGGCAAGATGCAACAGAAGTTTGAAAGGGAGCCGATTCCCGATTTCTTGAGGTTCGAACACACCCGGGCCATGCATTATCTTCCATACGAGGTTCGCAGAGATTTGCCTGTAGGAGAATGGGATGGAATTACACAACTATTTCTCCCCTCAGATATCCTTGATTTGGCACAGAAGGTGTTTTACCCTAAACCTTCTCAAGACATTTTATCCGCCACTGCATTCTTAGCGTGGATTCCACGGCATCAGGCAGAAGAATTTTTCACTTGTGGAAGCAAGGATGCAGAGCTATTAGCTGAAGAAGATAATTCCAAAGAATTTTGGTCCAAACATTCCCTCTTCATCGAAAATACTCGAGAGGAACTTGTAGCAATTTGTAGTTCAAAAAAACTGTTGGAAACAGGAAAGAAACACGAACTTGTAGAACGTATTGTGAAAGCAACAGAAGGGGAAAGTTCTTGGAAGGGTTCCTGTGACATATACAGCGGAAGCCTCTCTCAAGTCCCATCGTCCGTAGCACAGTTAAACAAGCAGCCAGTGCGTTTTCTGCGAGCAGTTTTGAGATTCCATGGGTTTTGTCCATTGGGCACAAAGGACGAACTTATTATTCGAGTGGGATTGTTAAAGGGCGGTCAAATCCAAACTGCGTTTAGTAGAGAAAGAATGGAACTAGTGAAAAGGATTTCAATTCTGAGGGACATTTACAAACTACTAGATCAGGAAAAGGAAACTAAACTGTATATTCATAAGAGACGCACCTTCGGTTCAGACAGTGCTGTTCTGTCAACTAGAGACAAGTGTGGTCTCAAGAAAGTTGTCCACGAGGACAAACTTGATGTGCAAGGTACCGTAAGCGACATCCTTGATCGACTCGAGCAAAGTTTGCTAAAGCTCGAGAATGCTGCTGTTGAAAAAATTGGAAGAAGTGTAAAGAGTCGTAAAGAAATGTCTCCTGCCCCCTCCAAAAGGAGAAAGTACCAGGCTAGCGAGGAAGAGCCAAGCAGAAAGTCAACCAGGGAAAAGCAAAAACCAAAGAAATTGGAAGAAGGCTGGGTAGCAGAAGAGCGAGAACTTATCACAAAAGTAGGAGCCAGGATTCATGTGCTATGGACTGAAAATGAGCTTAGAGGAACCAAGTTCAAACCAGGCTGGTATGAGGGTGAAGTACAACAATACGATGACGACAACGATGTTATTCGCGTACTTTACAAAGACGAAGGAATGGCTGCATCTTCAAGGGCCAAAAATCTCTTTGACTTAAGCGTTACTGTTGCGTTGGCCGAGGGGCTAATAACCTTAAAGCGGGCAAAAACATATTAATTAGTTCAATAAATATAAACAGATAACACAATGGAACCTCAACATAACGAAGTGCTGGTGTACAAAATTGCGTTAACTTTTGCGAGGTTCGACAAGGTTATGCTAAATTGAAGTAAGTTTAGAAGAATATCGTTGAATTCGTTACAGAGAGGTTCGTTATAAAATAGAGGTTCCGCTGTGTTTATTTACTGGTCAGAGAATTCTCAGTTAGGTTGTAAATTCCGCATTTCCTATTTAGTCTAGTTCAAAACACCATTACAACTTGTTTTTTTGAGATTTTTTAAAGCCTTATGAAAAAATGTCCCCAAAAATTAATAGTTTTTTTGAGAGAACAAAACAAACAGGCGCCAAATCTGCAAGAGCCTGGTGAAGAATTTGTTCATAGCGGACTTTGTATTTGGATGAATCTGAAAGCCATCTTAATCCGGTTTTAAAATAATTCGTTGGATGAACATGTTAAAATTTCATTTCGTGAATGGGAGCTATTTCAAGTCCTTTTGTCTTGGCTGCATTCTCTTCAGCATGACTGTTGCCTCTCGGATTTAAACGAAAGCGAAACGACCTTTGTAACTATAGCGGACTAGGAAAGCTGTTTATAACGCGAATTTGAACTTCCCTTCCAGTGCACAGTAGAACTACAGATCTTGAAGGTAGGATGCGCAAATGAAGTCATCCATTCTTTAAGTTAGAAAATAATTGTAACGATTAACAAATGTAGACTTTTTCGTTCTTTGAAAGATTTCGTTGATTTACAACAGTTACAAAATCTCGATCTTCAGTGGACGAGACTGACACGCATGCTGCCGGCTGCCTTATGTCTGGTAAAGGAATGGATATTCATATTTAGCGCAAAGAAAGAAAAAGGTCACTGATTTTTATAAGCTAAGAAATTATGTAAACACTCGTTCAGGTGTCGTTCGCATTTTTTTGTTTTTTTGCTCCTTTCGTTTTTTAGTTCCACGCGATAGAATTCTTAGTTTAATATAAGCTGAAGCTTTAGAAATTAAAACAAAAACATTTAGACGTGTTTTTATGTATTTTCCATTAAAAATAAATTAAATTTAAGCCTTTTATTTTTTTTTTTACCCGGAAATCCAGGCGGGAGGGGGGTCTTCCACCTTGGAAATCCAGTTGGGAGGGGGGGTCTTGTGCTTCAGGAAATCCAGGTGAGAGGGGGGGTTAAAAAAGGACCCCATCCGTCGGGGGGGTGTGGATTTTTTCTGGAATAACCCATTGTGGCATAGGCGATTGTATTCACTGGATATGTGATTTAGCAGGGTTAATCTAGGATATTACTTGAGCGAAGCAGTTCTCAACATAAATAAGTCTGTCTGCCGTTGTAACACTGTAGGCGCCTGTCTCGGTAGACCTGTTTTCGCGCAACGCTTCGGTCATTTTGAATCTGTCAAATTATATCATTTTCGATCCTTTCCACCGAGTTTTAGGTCAAATTTAACCGTAAATTTAGGCATAGGTGATTGTATTCACTGGATATGTAATTTAGCAGGGTTAATCTAGGCTAAATTACGTGCCACAGCTTCAATAATTAATTAACACGTATACACTTTCTGGAACGATCGTAAAAACACGAATTAATTACGCACCAAATTACGACCAAATATATTGTTTATGTTATATCAATTATTTTTCAAGTTCAACTGCCAGTTGACAAAGTTCTTTGTTGAAATAACCTTGAGACTAAGGAAAAAGAAATATACGATTGTTAACGTAATTGTTAAATGTTGGTTCTTTTCAGTTCACGATAAAAGTTATCGTTTGCTGTAAGAAATGTGGTTGACTGAGCGTATCGTCTTGTTTGACAAAAACACTCGCAAACTGACGCGCAAACAATTAAACCCTTAGATCTTTAGAAACAACAAGTGGCTGAGTCATACAGGGGGTCTCGTGTGACGCATACTATTTAGAAAAAGGTGCAAATCGCTATTGTTTGCCCAAACAGATTTAAATCAGTAAATTGGAGGTCAACCCATAAAAGATGAGTGCTATACATACCCTTATTCTACAGTCGTTAATAAACTGCGAGACTTTAAGCCATATTTTTTTGGAATTTGTCATCTGGAAACACGATCTTTGGTGTGCATATGAAATAGCTAGAATCACTTGGGCATGATTTCCACATAAAAACTGCCCCTGACTGACTAACTGACCGGTTTTAATAAACCCTTCAAAAGAGGGTTCATGTTTCTGGGTTTGATATTTTAATCACCATGGTTAGTGAACAAAATTTGCTACACATGTATAGTCTAATTCTAGACATCAGGGAAACGGCAAATTTTGATTTTCCTTTTCACATGCATCAAGTTATCAGGCGAAGTCCAATTTAGTGCTAGGTGATAGTGAAGACGCTATTATGTCAACGACGGTATCATCAGAGGCGTGTCTGTTACAAGGTAGACTTGGAGAGTGGGTGAGAGAAAGTTCTCAGAGCAATAACAACAAATTTAATGACCATGGTGTGCTTAGGAACAAACTTTGCTCAATAGAAGCAGGACACATTATAAGCAATGATGTACTGCACCTTGCATATGATGGTTCAGTCAGTGAAAATGACTGCATCATTGAACATGGCGTCTCCAATTCAAAAATAAATTCTAATGGAAGCTATGATAAACTCGTAAGCCCAGTCAAAGGGGAAACATCTAATTCGGGCTATCAATTTCCACTTGCAACCAGTTGTCAAGCGAAATTGAGTTTCTTGGTGTTGGGTAATAATGATACTGATATCTTGAAAAACCAAGCTGATAGCGATGAAAACAAGGCCACTGGATATGGTAAATCGAGTTCAAATGTAGGGACTAATGTGTCAGACACCTCTAACACAGTTGTAGCTTCATCTGTCACTACTTCAGTTTCTATAGGGAATGGTATAGAAAAAAAAAAAACAAGTCTTACCCTTGGTGAGTCAGAAATGTCACCTAGCTTGCGTTCTCAATTAAGCAAAGTACGAAAATTTTATTCCCTTCCAATAAACTGCGACCATGGGGGAAATGCTTTGCAAAAAGTTACCATCGATGAAATGATGGAAAGAGTAAGTGCATGGCTATGGTTCTTAAAAAACGTTAAAGGCATAGAGCCCTCTTTGATCCATTCTGGAGATGCCCAGCTTGTCCAAGAGTTTGTACATTACATGATGGATAAACGAGGTACAAACCCAACTATTTGTAGCCACTACATAACAGCCTTTCCCAAAGTTAGAAAAGTACCTCTACCTGGATTCTCATGAACGCAAAGGAGATGATTTTAGCCAATCGCTAGAAAAAGTTAGAGCCGTGGAAAGACAACTTGAACATTTATCTAGAAAGCAATTACATGTCAGCCTTGTTTGAGAAACATTTCTCTCATAGATTAACCACAGCCGATCTGAGAAAAGCAGTCATGGCTCATTCTTTGTCGTTGCCCCAAAGTAGTGATTATTCTCTAAGAGAATCATTTGCAACACCTTTGAAACATTCAGTGCCCACACAGAAACGATATTGAGATAAAAGGCCTTTAGCCAGGGATGTCGCTAGCGCCGCTGCCGGCGAAATTTGCCGGCTGAAAAGGGCGATCGCCGGTTGACATTTGGCGGCGATCGCCCGACTAAAGAACAACGTGTGGACGGCTCTTGAGTTCCACGGTTTCTGTCGATCGATATCAAGCAATATCGTTCAAAAGGTATCAAATCGTAAAATAAATACTCTATCATATTATTAAAGGTATGACAATTCAAATAAAGTTGTGTTTTGAGCACAAACTACTGCGTCTGTCTCGTCTCTCTCCCGTTTCTTGGATCCTCCATTTTGTCAACACGAAGCTTAGTAACCCCGCATGCAAGGAGTCGCGGTAAAACTGGGAACGAAATCTCGTTACAAGGTCCCTTTACCGGAAGAGCGCGAACGAGATTGCTCAATGCTTCCGCAGGTTCCTGACAATTGCGAAAATTTACGTTCTTCCACCGTTGTTTCTGCTCTCAAGATTTAATCATCGATTTATCATGGCATCATCAGGGAAAATCCACGAAAAAAGAAAAGACAGACTGCCCAAAGACAGACAAGATGCACATATAGGTGTAGACAATGAACCTGGTACACCTGAAGCAGGTACACACGAAGACGAGGAACAGGAGGAAGTCTTCGAAATTGAACATCAAGAAGTGGAGGAAGTGGAGGAACAGCTAGCTGACGAGGCTCTAAAACTGTTTCACTTACGATCTGATGAACCTACCCTCAGTGACGACAGTGATTCAGACTATAACAGTGACTTTTTTTCAGACGATGAATGATTTAATATAAGTGCCAGAATGGAATTTATATCAAGATATCAATAAGTCATTCATATATGTTAATATGAATATAAGAAATTTAACCTGTTTTTTTGTGTCAAACTTTGATCAACTGTATATGTGTATCTTGAATTGATATCATATTAAACCTGAGGTCAGTATGGTATGGCAAATGTATATATTTTGCCTCAACACCTGCAGTTTTCACTTTTGTGGTACTAAATTAATGTATGTTTACTGCATTAAAAGAGTCCCCAGATTGCACCAGAGGGCACCAAATGGAACTCAAATTTTCAAAATTTCCCGGGGAGGCCCCGGAACCCCCCATTGGGAGGGGCCACCCCTCCCATACCCTCCCCCCGGGTCGGCTGCGCCGACACAGAAGGAAGGCAAGCACCTTCTAGTGTCAGCCGGCTCAATGGATATCTCAACCGCTGAACTTTTTCTTAGCAACATCCCTGTTTAGCACAGAAGAAAAGCAGAGCAGTTAATCTATTAGGCTCATTCGATTCTCGAAGCCCAGATGAGGATTCAGTTGAAATTGTCAGTGATGAGGACAAGGGTAATATCGAATATCTGCCTAGGCAAGTAGAGTTTGTCGCCATAGTAGCAGCCAATTCTACGGAAACCAGTCCCAAGTTTTTGTTGCTACAGTATTGAGGCTTTCCGAGGACCAAAAACTCCCTCTCTTGCAGACTGTGAAGAAACAGAACCTGGAAAATTTAAATTGAATGCAGGGAAATCTTTTAGGAGGCGGTCAATGCGTTGATTTATCCAGTAAAGATCGTTTCTTTGCACATGAATGACGTTTACGAACTTAGGACCCCAAAAATAGACGTTCATCATCAGGTCTATGAAAAATAATTCCTTACACTAATTGTACTTCTGCCATTTCATTTCAATTGAGAAAGTTATGATCTCTTAAAATCCAACTCAACTGCTGCCTAAAGTTGTTTGTTTGTTTGTTTGTTTTTCCTCCTTTCTTAGTGTCGTTAGATAATCTACTCGCCTGGAGAAAAGCATGACTGGAATAATGTCCTTACTGGCTGATAATAATTTGTATCAAGTGATAAGGGAAATCGATTGGTTGCCCCAGCTGTACGAAGCGTCCCTTGTCAGTAATGAAAGGACAGTCGTCTCCTTGCCTTTGAGAAACTTTTGTCGTTCAATTTCCTTCAGTCTTCTCTCGCACACCAGTGAATTTTACTGTGCGTTACTTCGTACTGGTATTATATCGCACAAAGGCAGTCTTTGCTTAGAATACCATTGCCTAAATTACCTGTGCCTACCAGACATCTTCAAGACCAAGGCTATTGCTGTTCTTTTTCACATGTTTGAGTTAAAGCGTAGTTACCTGTCCACTGAAGATGATCTGGTGTCAATTATAAAGCTCTGTGGATACTTACTTATAAAGCCAACTATTGTACACGTTTTTCTAGTTAACTTGCTTTCTCTTAGTGAAGATTGCAGGTCCCAAAAAGCTGTAGTGCTCGCTTACAAGCTATACTGGAAATGTTTCATTCATAGCGCGCTGTATTTTCTGCAAGGTGTCAACCATCCCTGCTTTTATCACGTTTTGCAACAGAATGACAGTTATCGCATAGTGAAACGTAAGGTTCACAGATATAAACGTTTTAGAGATTTTCCACCCACTTATCCCTATCCCTTGGCTAGGAGTAAGTTTCCTAGAGTCATGACAGTTTCTTTTTGATATCACTATGACATGCCTCCGACAGCTTTTGATGAATATCCAGAAACGGGATGATTATCAGATTTAATATACAAACGTAAGCGCTGGGTGCTGTTCTTCGAGCTAAGCAATGTCATTTCAACTTTCCTAAGTTCGATAGCAGCATTAGGTGTGCGGAAAGGTCTCTTAAGCGGAGTACTCTCAACGCCTTAGTGATGTATCTGTCCTAAAACGGTGAAGAGTATTCCATTTGCTGAAAATTAGTCTCGAGAAAATAAGGAAATAATCCACTTTAAAAACACTATTATTGGGTTGTTAGAAGTTTTTGTTTAGTTAAGAAATAACCTGCCTGCGGTGGTCAATCCAGGGATAATTAAATAATTAAAGGAGAGCCTTGTCACGATAGTTTAGTCGACTTTGTTCAGGAGGAAAGGAGTGTAAAAAGTAAACTGCACCTTCGGAAAAAGACATTTATCCTCCAACAGAGATAAACTCAATTTAAAACCCTCTTAGTCTGCACAGCAAATGTTGAAAAAAATATTCCAGTCTCTTTTCAGTCTGGCCTATCTGTATTTTTCCCTCAGATTTCGCTATTATTATCCACTACTGTCTGGTGGCCATTTCCTAATGGCTGAATTTGGCTAAATTACGTGCCACAGCTCCAATAATTAATTAACACGTATCCACTTTCTGCAACGATCGTGAAAACACGAATTAATTACGCACCAAATTACGACCAAATATATAGTTTATGTTATATCAATTATTTTTCAAGTTCAACTGCCAGTTGGCAAAGTTCTTTGTTGAAATAACCTTGAGACTAAGGAAAAAGAAATATACGATTGTTAACGTAATTGTTAAATGTTGGTTCTTTTCAGTTCACGATAAAAGTTATCGTTTGCTGTAAGAAATGTGGTTGACTGAGCGTATCGTCTTGTTTGACAAAAACACTCGCAAACTGACGTGCAAACAATTAAACCCTTAGATCTTTAGAAACAACAAGTGGCTGAGTCATACAGGGGGTCTCGTGTGACGCATACTATTTAGAAAAAGGTGCAAATTGCTATTGTTTGCCCAAACAGATTTAAATCAGTAAATTGGAGGTCAACCCATAAAAGATGAGTGCTATACATACCCTTATTCTACAGTCGTTAATAAACTGCGAGACTTTAAGCCATATTTTTTTGGAATTTGTCATCTGGAAACACGATCGTTGCTGTGCATATGAAATAGCTAGAATCACTTGGGCATGATTTCCACATAAAAACTGCCCCTGACTGACTAACTGACCGGTTTTAATAAACCCTTCAAAAGAGGGTTCATGTTTCTGGGTTTGATATTTTAATCACCATGGTTAGTGAACAAAATTTGCTACACATGTATAGTCTAATTCTAGACATCAGGGAAACGGCAAATTTTGATTTTCCTTTTCCACATGCATCAAGTTATCAGGCGAAGTCCAATTTAGTGCTAGGTGATAGTGAAGACGCTATTATGTCAACGACGGTATCATCAGAGGCGTGTCTGTTACAAGGTAGACTTGGAGAGTGGGTGAGAGAAAGTTCTCAGAGCAATAACAACAAATTTAATGACCATGGTGTGCTTAGGAACAAACTTTGCTCAATAGAAGCAGGACACATTATAAGCAATGATGTACTGCACCTTGCATATGATGGTTCAGTCAGTGAAAATGACTGCATCATTGAACATGGCGTCTCCAATTCAAAAAATAAATTCTAATGGAAGCTATGATAAACTCGTAAGCCCAGTCAAAGGGGAAACATCTAATTCGGGCTATCAATTTCCACTTGCAACCAGTTGTCAAGCGAAATTGAGTTTCTTGGTGTTGGGTAATAATGATACTGATATCTTGAAAA